TTCTGGACGTGGCAAGGAATAATTGCAGCTGAGAAATCAATTCCTGATCTTCTGTTACATTCGCCTGTGGAGCCCTTGACGGCTAATGCGTTTCTGTCTATCTTAACTACCCAACTGATGGCTTGTATTTTAGGAGTCGCTAGGGCTACTGCTGCCTCCCACTGTGTGTTATCTGACTTTATCATTATCGGAATCCCTACAATTTGCCTGCCATTCATCCTATCTTGCCTATAAATTGTGTAGTCATCCATCCCCGGGGTGCTGTGGTGCTTCAGCATCCATGATTCAGTTATAGCGACGGTGTCGACACCCGGGGTGCACCGTCGCACCTCTCCCCACTTATCCCGTATTTTGCCACAATTGGTGTATCACAGTGCGACTGAGCTTCCTTGGCGGTGACCCAGCGCACGTTCTCTCTCTCTGACGCAATTTTGCAATGTCCAATTTAAGGTTTGTATTTGAGCATTACAGGAAAGCACCACAACTATCCAGTGATCGAATCGCACAACATAAATTAACTTCTAGCGTACGCAGGGGTTTGAAATCCATAAATAATAATAATAATAAACAATAAGTGGACACAAGATGCTATAAGTAATGGAGCAGATTGCGCAGAAAATGGAACATTTTACTTAAATACATGCACTTGGGGGACCTTTAGGTAAATGTAGGTATTGAACTGTATCGTTAGATACGAAAAAATACTAAATGACCGGTCTCCGTCTTGGTTGGTGCCGAACAAAGCTAAGCTCTAAGTAGTCACATGGAATAAAACAAAAATTAGTACTTATGCGACGAACAGCAGTGAATCAGAAATGTAAGGACACCATGCTTAACTGTAGGCCGCCCTACAGCTGGAACGAATGAGACAATCATTATGGTATTTGTAACATTGGACGTTTTGCAATAGACAAGCGAATCCAAAGTGTCTGGCACCAGAGTAGTCGAATTTACATTGTGCCATACAACCACCTGGACACGTTTGAAACGTAAACGTTTCCAATTTTCAATTGCCAACGATGCACATTTGAATGTTTACTTTAGTTGTGGTTTTGTTTTCTGGACCTGTTCGAGTTGAACGGAACTCTTTGACATGGCACCATGCAGGTTTAGACGAGTACGTTTCCAGGCGGAGTTCACAGTTTTGACATGGAAGCAACTTCATTTGTGGCTGAAGACATCTGGCATGTGTTGCCCATCTGTCACACAACTGTTTCCGTGACAGACTACTTAAAATGTTACCTGGAATTTGGAGTCTGAGGTTGAAAATTTACCAATACGATCGGTTAATTGTTATTATGCATCACAAGAGAAAGATTGTTGTCGCATTTCAGCCAAACATTTGCGGTTGCCAATGTTTAAAGTTTAACTCCGTTATGTGTTCTGAAGCTAGCGTCATAAGGTCGTCCTAAAATGAGAAATTCTTGCCCAAAATTTAGCTCTTTTCCCCGATGGTTGTCAAACGCCACACCACTTGATCTCAACCCTCAAAATTTGTTCGAGGCTTGAACTCGCGCCCTTCGATTGGTTGCGCTACACTTACATGCTCTCCGTCACATTGTGGGAATTTTCACATTTTCACTCACTATCATGCGTCGTCGTTACTCACGGGATGATATTATTTGTTTCAAACGTGCCAGGACATGCTTTATTGGTTCAGTAGTTTGTGCGACTCCAGTTTCTCAATGTCCAGGCTGGATAAAAAACTCCAGCGTGCAGGATAGCAAGTTGTTCTTAATTGCACCCCTGTCAAAGAAGACTGTCCCGTCATTGGTCAGCACTAATACTCGGTCCCTGTTTCCCAAAAGGTTAGATTTAACTGGTGTCCTCCGATCAAGAATACATATGAACACGTGCGCTGTCTGTGTTCAAGAATACTGGTTGAATAAGGATGTAGATGACACTTTGGTATTCATAGACGGTTTTCACATTCAGTCTTCAGTCTTCAGTATTGAGGGTAGAGAACAGGGTGCCCGTGCGAGCCCCAGCACTGGGTCGAAGATCCTATCACAATTGTCATTTCCTCCATGGTCCCTTCAGGTGCTCATCCAGACGCCGTTTGAAAGCGGTGTCTGTCTTCCCCTCCATGACGACCGCTGGAAAGGAATTACAGAGTGTTGTTGGCTTCCGCGAGAGTCGATAGACTAACGGAAGACCAACTGACTGAAGTTTCCGCAACGTGACGGAGTGCCACCGCGTGCGGTCCTCTGTCTGGCCCATATCACCTCAGACAGATGAGATCTCTTCTGAGGCACCGATACGCAATTGGGAACAGACCAAGAGCTTGTAGGCGACCTTCATAGCTGGTCCGCGTAGTACAACAACGAGTCTACTGGCAGCACGTTGTACACGCTCCAACTTGGCCAGTTCACCGGCCGTGCAGGGGTATGTCACCGCACAACCGTACTCAAGTCTTGGTCTGACATGGGACGCGTACAGTAGCCTGAAAGCGTCCATCGTGAGCTGGTTGAAAGACCGCTGAATAGGCCCCAGAAAGCTCAATGCGGTGGCACAGACACGATCGGTATTTTCTCGGGTCTTTATTGATGACGTAACCATAACTCCCAGGTCTCTTTCGCACAATGTTCTGCGTAATATGGTTCCCTGAAAGTTGTAGGCTGTATTGATAGATCTGTGGAAATCCTTCCTGTAAAGCCCAGTCATTCCATCTCGGTTACACATTTCGTGAATTTTACGT